TTGTTTGTTTCATTTCAAATCCATTGTGGTGGTATATAGAGCCAAAAATGTTAGAATTGTGTCCATGTCCCAATATTTATGGACCTGACTGTATGTGTGTGTCTGTGTGTGTATGTATGTGTGTATATGTGTGTGTGTGTATATATGGTGGTGGCGGGGGCTCAGTATTCACTTTATGTAGTAGGGGGCTCTGTATTCACTTTATGTAGTAGGGGGCCCTGTGTGTGTTCTGGGGGGGGGGGGGCTGCATTGTACCATAATGGAGACCATGTGTTCTAAGAGGGTGGTTGTGTGCTCATTATAACCTCAAATTATGGGGGGATGGTGCCATAATTGTGAGTAGCAGAAATACCAATCACCCCCTTTTTTGCCCCCCTTACCCCCTCTCTTTCTCTCACCCCATTCTCTCTCTCTCACCCCCCTTTCTTTTTTTTGAAAAGGGGGTAGAGAACATGGCTATGGGGGGGGGGGGGGGTGAAAGAGGGTATATATTTATTTCTGTAACTGTATTCTGCATAGAACATTTAACAGTGTCATTTAATGAGAGAATTTACGAGGGCATGTTTAGTAGGGATTAGGGGCATGGCAGGGTAGCGGCTGGGTGGAGCAACTGGTGGTGAGTAACTCCTAAGGCATGGCTAGTAGCTCAGGACTTGAAATTGTGAGCCCTAATTTAGAGTATACCTTTTCCCAGAAGCAATAATTGTTTAGAATATAACCTATTGTTAACTGCTAAACTAATTATGGATTAATATAAAGTAATTAAAGAAAAGTTAAATGTATGGATTGAATATTCACAAGTCAGCAATGCATAAGTGTATGTATAAGACATATAGAATTACGATCCACTTATCTCTCAGAATTGGTCTTAAGAATGTATAATCAAAACCTTGTATGATTCAAATGTCTAACAGACTCACCATTAACATATCAGCAGTGATGGCCCAGTTTGGAGAAAAGCAAAGTTTCGCCAGCAAATATACATATCTGGAAAAAAGTACAAGAATGATATATCTATTATATATAATAGGAAACACTAAAACATAAACAAATCTATGGGACAGCTTGCTGAAATGATATTGGCTTAACAGTTCAAAAGGAAAAAAAAATATATAATCAGATAATAAAATGGCCTTCTATTTTACAGCCAAATTCAAAGTAGATATGCAAAATGTATACACCATTTAACCCAGTTATGTATTTATTAAAAAATTAATTAAATTACATTTTACATGTAACCAACATGAGTACCTAAAAATCTGTGTTATGTTTGTCCCCTATAATCCCTGCATAGTAACTGGGAGAGAAAAAGGTAGCACTTTAAGCTAGTCGGAGCTCTGTTACTTTGTACAGT